ACATAATAGGAAATAAGAATAGTAATAATATATGATAATAATAAAATACGATATAAATAAAATGAACTATTAATAAGAGTAATATAATAGAAGATGATAGTATCAAATAATTGAAGTAATATTAAGAAGTAAAAAGGAAAACCAGAAGGTGAAGGTAATAGTATCCAATAAACATCGACGCAACACAACAGTACAGACAAGAGGCGACGACAGCACGAGCATAATGATTGCATATCTGAGCGGGTTAGTTAAATGAGTTGAAGGGAATAGTTGTAAACATAATATTGTGTATTATATTAATATATTTGAGAGTAACGATCTGACGCCCGCGCTCAGCTACGCGCGCGTCTGCCGCTGACCTATACGTCCTCGCAGTCACTCAGTTCGCCCGCTGCCGCGCCCGCGCCCGCAGGAAGAGATATATTAAAGATAGGTAAAATTGTAATTTATATTTCTCCTAGTATATAAATATAAATTAAATATAATTGCAATAGATGAGTATGATAAACATTGAGAGATATACAGATATATCAAGATGGATAAGAGGAAAGACAATGAGTATATATATGAATGCAAGTAATGATAGTAGGGGTATAAAGGAGTTATCGAATAGATATATTATAATAATTTAATTATATATATTAATATATAATAATATATTAGTTAACATATATAGAATATATTAGATAAAGTAATCAGATTAGGATATATTAGAGAAAATATAAGGGATATAGATGAGTATTAAATACATAAGTATGTATGAATATATAGAGGATTTACAATATAAAAGATAGTAATATATTAATTAGTACATATAATTATGTTATATGTATATATGTTTTCATAATATGGTATAACATAATAATAATATTATTAAATAATAGATGTTTATAATTCATAAGTCATGAATATGAATTAGAGTGTGTTATGATACTAATATATATATTTAGATAATAATATAGGAATAAGATACTAATAAAGACAATGTAAACGAATATATATATATTATGAATGTAATATAAGATATATAGATAATATTAATATATATATAATACGGATAGATGAATGAGATTCAGGAAAATATGGTGATAGCAGCTACATGAACATTGAAACATACTAAATAGTATATAGTAGTGAAGAAATAAGAGTAAGTAACTTAGTTACGAATAATAATGATGTAGAATATATGAATATAGACGGTATGAATAATATATATATATTCCATTATACCCTAATAATATAATTCATATAAAGGTAGTATATTAACATATTATAAATAGTATGTGAGGTATTGTTATACAGAGTGAGAGAAATAATTTAAGAAATATAAATAGAATAGATATAGGGATAGTAGCTAAGTATAGAAGTAGATACATTATAAGTAGATAATATATAGTATAAAATAACATTATAGAAGCAGGAACGTCTAGAAATCAATACATGTATAAATAAGTAAAGCGATATAGTGACTATTAAGAGAGTAATAGACATAAGTAGGATTATAAATAGTAGATATATCAGATATGAGAGACTATAACAGAAATTTAAATATATATATGTGTAAGTGTGAATAATGTAAATTTATGATAATATATTATGTATATATAGCTAAAGTATAATATAGATATATATATGAGTATATAAATATAGATAGATATAATTATGATTAGATGGTATAGTATATACAAATATTTATAATAGATAGTATATAGAATAAATATATTATATATCCTCCGTACTTTTGACTATAATATATGAATGTAGACATACATTATGTAAATGAGTACTGAGTCATATATGTTTACATATATATGTATTATTATTATAATATATATTGTATCATATCATCATACAGCAGGGCGCGATATACATATATATCTAGCGTATAATATACTAAGTAATATACTAATATATAACGGTAGTAATTATATATATATAATAATATGTATAGTCATATTATATATATAAATACCTAAGTATATCCACACTAATAGAACTATATATGTACAACATATATTTAAATATATAACTGTGTAATGTTTTAGTTCAGTATCAATAGAGGCTATAATATAGTGATATAGAATATGATATATAGTGATGAAGTCTATAATAGAATTGGAAGTGATATGATAACGAGATAGTACCAGCCGAGATAGAAGGATATAAATAACGTAGTGAGCTAAGACCGTGAATCATATAGTTAATGAGGGTTAGGGCCATGACCAATAGTAATAGGTAGTATACAATAATGAACTGAGTGATATAACGAATACAAGTCAAATGACGTAAACGCCACGAAAACAACCACCCCACACACTATAACACAACACATCAGAGCAGATTGGAACATCTTAAAAACCATATTTACATACTAACAAGCACACAGATATCACCACTGCACGAGCCCAACACATTTATAATCAACTGTGATGAAAAAGGAAATACCTTGTATTTGGAAGGTCAAGATGAACAAGCAATGTATGTAGAAGGATGGTATACCATAATCTAAATAATGATAAGGAGTCACTAATGATAGGCTAGTGTACTAACACTAGTGAGGTGGTGTGTTAGTGTCTTAATATATGGTATGCCATAATCCAGTATCAAAGCCATTAATGTAGGTATTAATGCGAATAACAAAAAGAGTATAAACAAAACGTATCAGCACCTACCCAATAACATTATTTACCAGATATACATAACAATTACAGTTATACCACCGGGATCCAAGATTACCCATACCAATAACATATAACATAAAACTCAATACCATCACAAAACATAAACCAAATTACAGTAAAGCAAAAACATCATAAATAATAATTAAATAGTAAAAGAATAAGTATATATATAAATAAAATATATATAAATTAATAAATAAAGAATAAATATAATATAATACTATCTTATACATAATAGATATAATACTTATACTAATATGATAGTTACCCTAGTAACGATCATCTATAATAAATATATATATATATATAACATAAATATATCACTATTACTATATATATCAATAATAGAATTGATATATATATAATATATATATACTATAGATATTATATATAAACTATATATATAAATATATACTATATATATATATATATATATATATATATATACATAATATATAATATACATAATATATATATAAAATAAATATATATTTATATATATATATATTATATTAATATAATATATATATAAATATATTATATAGATATATATATTACACACACACACACACACACACACAGGACAACACACACACACACACACACACACACACACACACACAACACCACACACACAGTATATTCATATCTACGTATTTAAATATGAATATATGTAATATATTTATATATTATATATTTATATATCTCATATATTTGTATATTAATAA